ACTGAAAGCTGAACTTCGCGAACGATTTCCGGTACCAAGACGACATTTTCTGGAAAAACACGAAGAATAAATCTCCCCTAAAATCACGTTTTCTATTCAACCATGTTGAAAGAAGAAAATAAAACTACACTGAAAAGTCTAGAATGCCTCTAGATCAGATTGTGCAATAAAGATGCAAAGTGAGTCCATAAGAGGCTCAATTCACCAACGAAAGAGTTTTTCCCGGAAACGATCATGCACGTAGGCGTAACTTACCTGTTAGGACGCGCTACAATGATCCACGACTTAAAAATATCGCTGATACAAAATCCAACCCCCCAACGGCCAAAATGACAAAAATAGAACTTGGAATGAAAACTCGGAATGAAAAATTATGAAATGGTTTCAAAATACCATTTGGCCCTTGGCCACACTTCATACATGATTAGTGAGACCCTATGGAAGAATCAAAATAGAATTCCCACACCCGATGCAAACATGGTGAAACAATAACTCAATATTTTCATAATATTCCATGAAGTCAAAAATTGCATAGGATACAAATTACATGTCATTGGCCTCCGGCCTCATCTCATACATGTCAAATACATTGTAAAGAGTGTACTCATATACACATTACATATATGGAATCAAATATATACATTTTGACTTATAAGGCTACAAGTGGCATTCCAAACCAACCTTTACAAGAATTAAAACATTCAAGTCTACAATCATCCAAGCAATGATGAACATCACGAACCAAGTCTTCGTACCTGAAACAACCCCCCAGTAACTTCGGGGTGAGTAAATAAGTTTACTCATAGAGAATGAGCATGCATGACTCGATTTCTTTAGAGATTTTTACATTGACTTGCAACAATTCAAAAGGGTCATGCCACCTAACGTTTATGTCAAAGGTTAGACTCAGGGAGCATCCTAAGCTACCTTAAAACATTTCTAGCATAAATCACATCATGTATGCAATCCCAAACAACATAAAGGCATGCTATACAAAGCAACAAGATATAGATTCTCAAAGTTATCAACTTGAAATCTAAAATGCGAAAACAACTAAATATAACAATTTAGCATAGATGTACTTAACAACATCAAAATCGCCAATAACCAAAACCACAAGTCACAATTAAACATGATTGTCAACTTGGAATTGAATGCGAAATCAAATAATAGAAGACTTGGACATCATGTCTCAGGGTAAACCAAGATCAATACGGTTATTCCGGGCATTAACCCGCTGGGAAGACCATCCTAGTGCGCAATATCTCAATTGGGGAGAACTCATACCTCCCGCACTAGAGCCAAACTCTAGCCATGTCAGTTGTAACAACAATGTCCCAAGACTCCAAAATAAACCAAATAAGTTCACAACTTATAAATAATTTATATAATGCATGAAAACACCTTCCATGCGCAAGTAGGTTGAAATCACATAATCCATGCCTTAGAGTTTCAATTCTAAAATGGCATACATAATGTCAATTACAAAGTGTCAATTCATTACATAAGGTAACAATATATTTCATAAAGAAAACATATTCTCATGAATATAAATATAACAACAATGTTATCAATTGCTCAAAACACAACCAAGTGAATACACAACAAGTCCAAGTCCATGATTTGAATATAGAAACAACTTTTAAAACACAAATAGATCAATGGAGCCACTATATATAATTTAATTAAACAAAATAATTAAATTCTCTAAATTTCAAATCAAATTCAAATAATCTCTAATTAATATATGTTAAACAACGTAGCATGCTCATTACATATATCAAATCAAAAGTGTAAAATGAGCAAGATATCATCAAATAAAATTTAATTAATTTAAATCAATTAAATCTCTAGATTTCAAAAGTTGTTCAAATGATCTCAAATTAATATATATTAAGCACTAAGTCATGGTCATACCATATATCAAGTCAAAAATGGAATACAAGTAAAACACAATCAACTAGAATTTAAATCAAATTAAATTCATTTAATCTCTAGATTTGAAAACTCATTTAAATCATCCCAATTTAATATATAACAAAGATTATGTCATGGCCATGCCATATACCAAGTCTAAAATGAGTTATATGAAAGTTATGACAAATCATAAATTTATTAAATTAATCAAAAGACATGCATACAACTTATATATCACTACAAAAGCAAGGAATACCCTTAGGTAATAAATTATAACACCCCTTACCTCACAAGAGGATTGTTCCTCTTGAATCTAAGGCAAATTAACACAAAAATAGCAAACCTTTCAAGGGTTATGAAGAGGAGGATGAAAGGAACAAAAAGTATTCCCAAGGTTAAGCTTGGAAATCAATGGAAGGCTCTCAAAAATCAAAGTCAAAGCTTAAAGCTTTAAGCTTCATCCATGGAGGCTAGGATTTTTGGTGAAGAAGATAATGAAAACAATGAAATGAAGCGTGAGTGGAGGAAATAGAAATCCTCCACTCACTGTGTGATCTTACACCATGGTCAACACACACAAGTTTGGTCAATTGCATAAGAAACCCTTCTTTAAAACCATAATCCCAAAGTGGCCCAAAAAAATAATTGCAAGACTTAAATGTGAATCTACACTTGTCACAAATCCAAGGTTCCTTCCTAGGCTTAATCTCAAGCCTACACTTGTCAACCATCTAAGCCAACAAGTGCACCAATCCTAGGCCAACAAGTGGGTGAATCTCTACCCTCCAAATGTCAAGAGATCATGCTTCCAAGTCACTCTACCCCAAAACCAACAAGTGGCACCATGAGAATGTGACACTTGTCACATTTTTTCAAAAATTATAAAAGGTCCTTTTTGAAAATATCTTCCAAATTAGATTGCAAAATGGTTCCCAAGACGAAAAATAATTACTTTATTTAATTACACTAAAACCCCACAAGTTAAAAATATTACAAAATAGTCATGCATCCATACCCTTTACATGAAAAGTAAACACTTAGCATGCTTTTCTAAGAAAGTAAAAATACACATGGCATGAAATTTAAATATCATAGATGCATGCAAAATCGGAATCAAATCCGAACACAAAAAGTGAGGTTGTGCAAGGAAAAATAATAAACGAGAAAAAGAAAAAAAGTGAATAGTATCCGAAAAAATAAAAAAAAAAAATGTGGAAATGACACAATCTTCAAAGGAAGTTGTCAATCCAAGAAAAAGAGTCTCGGAAATCATTCTAGAGCACTCGTGACGACATCAAGCGATGAAAAACCGAATACAGAAAAGAAAAGACAACGAAAAAAAAAAATATCCGTAAAAATATGAGAAAAAAGAAAGGGAGAAAAATAACTGGGTCATTACACTGTCGACATCCCTAAGCGGAGTCGCATATAAGATCAGTAACTACTTGTGGGAGTATATTTTTATACGATTCCCATAGATGGTGCCAAAATATATGTGCAAAAATTCGTCAATTTTGAAAAGTCAAGGAATAATCGCTGCACACTAAATGAAAACAATAAACATCAAAGAACAATATTCAATTGTATATCTTTATTGGATGTCTATACCTCTATTTATACAAGTTTGTGGAACAATTAGGGTTGGACTCACATTGCTTGCCCCCCATAATCCTTCCATAGTTGATGGTTTCCTTCTACAATTCTTCCATATAGGAATTCTACTATAATTGCAACTTCTAGTGGTTGGTGAAGTGCATCAATAGGCTTTATTTTTCATGGATTATGACTTGGTGGGCCGAAGATAGACAATTAAGCTGGCATTTTTACTTGATGGGCTGAGAGATGGCGTCTTCCCTAGCTTCGGGCTTGTTTCTTTGGGCCTTCATAATTGGGCGGCCCAAGAGAAATACTATGTAAAATTTCTCTTGATGAGGTGGTTGACTCTGATTGGACAATGGCATTCCCCCGTATGATTTAATATAAAACTTAACAAAAGATAATCATCACACATTAGAAGATGATAGGCAAATATATTTATGTACACACCTTTTATAAATATGCTAAGTATTGTATAATTAGAAAAAATCACAAACCCCGAGTTCAAGCATATACGCCATTGCTCCATTTGAAGGGGAAACTGTGAGAAGGGTAATTTAGGAAATAAATCACAACGACTCCTTCTTTGCAATTAAGTTTTCAGTTTAGTCACTATTCATTTTTATTATTATTATTATTTTTTTACTTTATGGTCCTTTTACATCAATTTTATTTAGGATTGATCACTAAAACCTAATTTTCCCTATATATTAATAAATATTATGTACGGAAGCTGTATGTATAAATTGAAAACTTGATAAATACGAATTTAACTCAACCGCCAAGTTAGTTTTTTTACTTTTCACTGGATCAATCCTGAGAGAATAACTAGAGATTTTTTTTTTTTTTTTTTCCTTATTTAAGACCATTTTAGTAAATAAATAATGATGCTCACACTGAATAGTTAAGCAGGATTGTGAAACTGAGTCCCAAATGTGCTTACGCACCAAAAAAATATTTCTACTTTTACATATATTGGAAATACAATTTTTTTGACAATATTATCCTGAAAAATTCAGCACTATTTCTGATTCACCAACCAATAAAAATTCAGCACTATTTTTGATTCACCAACCAATCACCACTTCTATATTCCAAACTCTATCCATTGTACCCTTCGTATTATTATTATTATTATTATTTTTGATACGTGAAAACTCTTGCAATTACTGGCTCTTTGAACTTGTAACTACCAAGATAAACCTTCGACTAGTCACCCCACCTTATTACATGACTATCTTTTCATGAACTAGTTGAGGGCAAATTGGACCAAAGTGTAAAAATTATATAATTACTTTTCCTAATTAACTATTTTACCAAATAAATTGCATTCCGCTAATTATAGCGTTCAATAAATTAAATTAACCCATATATTAATCACTAATCGGTTCTTTTCAAATACCCTAAAATTGGCTAAATTCCATTTACCCTAAAATCCGCTTAAAAAACCTAGAAATTTATTACTATATATAATATAATCATCCCGACGGTTAGGGTTTTATTTAGTAGTAGTATTTCATTCGCAGCCTCGTCTCGTTCAGAAAAAAACGGTAGGGAGAAGAGGAAGATGGCCGAGACTATGGTGCTCCGCGGAACAATGAGGGCTCACACCGACTGGGTGACGGCGATCGCTACCCCCATAGACAACAATGACATGATCGTATCATCGTCACGCGACAAGTCAATCGTCGTCTGGAACGTCACCAAGGAGGAGAAGATCTACGGTGTTCCCCGCCGCAGGCTAACCGGCCACTCCCACTTCGTGGAGGATGTTGTCCTCTCCTCCGACGGCCAGTTTGCCCTCTCCGGTTCCTGGGACTCGGAGCTCCGACTCTGGGATCTCGCCGCCGGAACCACGGCCCGCCGCTTCGTGGGTCACACCAAGGACATCCTCTCCGTCGCCTTCTCCATCGACAACCGTCAGATCGTCTCGGCCTCCCGCGACGGCAGCATTAAGCTATGGAACACCCTCGGCGAGTGCAAGTACACCATTCAGGACGGCGACGCCCACTCCGATTGGGTCAGCTGCGTCCGATTCAGCCCCAATACGCTCCAGCCAACCATCGTTTCCTCCTCATGGGACCGCACCGTCAAGATCTGGAACCTCACCAACTGCAAGCTGGCTTCGACGCTCGCGGGCCACTCCGGGTACGTCAACACCGTGGCCGTCTCTCCCGATGGATCTCTTTGCGCTAGCGGCGGCAAGGACGGAGTCATTCTGCTGTGGGACCTGGTGGAGGGAAAGAAGCTATACTCGCTCGACGCCGGCTCTATCGTTCACTCTCTCTGCTTCAGCCCCAACCGCTATTGGCTCTGTGCTGCCACCGAGTCCAGCATCAAGATCTGGGACTTGGAGCACAAGAGTGTCGTCGTCGATCTCAAGGTCGATCTAAAGGTTGAGGCGGGTGAAGGGTCAACAACCCAAGCCACTTCTGCCGGAAAGAACAAGGTTTTTTTTTTTGAGAATTCTTGTTGGGTTTTAAAATTTTTTTTAATTATCATATATATATATATATGCATATGTATATTCCTATATATGTATTCAATTTTCCCAAATTTGATACGTTGTTTTGATTTGGTCATTTCGTTTGTGTGTTTTTGTTAGTATCCTTAGTATATACTATTGATATTGATGGAGATTTTCGTGCTAATTTGTCTCAATTGGAGAGTAATGGGCCGGTGGTAAGTGGTAGACATCTTTATCACATTGGATTGCATGCATTTGATTTTCCCAAATTTGATATGTTGTTTTGATTTGGTCATTTCGTTTGTGTGTTTTTGTTAGTATCCTTAGTATATACTATTGATATTGATGCAGATTTTTGTGCTAATTTGTCTCAATTGGAGAGTAATGGGCCGGTGGTAAGTGGTAGACATCTTTATCACATTGGATTGCATGCATTTGATCTTTTATTTGGTAGAAACTCCATCGAACTTCTATCTTGGCTAAAATTGCGACTTTAGTAATTTAACTGTGCTGGCATTGGTCTCTTCCATACTAATTCTTTTAGGGGTGGGATTTGGGTGGGACCAACCCGAGTAACCCGATTCCCACCCGTAGGTTGGAATGGGTAAGGTACTTGAGACTGTTGGATGGAATGGGTTAAAACTTTTTAGAGCCCGAATTTATTTTGGAAAAAGAGAACTCCAAAAACCCAAAGAGCCCAAAATATAGTTTATAACTTTTATATTTAAAATTAGATTATTTATTGTATCATCAACCATGGATTCATATGAATCATCTAATTGCTATAAGGTTACGCTATAAGATCATTACTATTTCACATAGTTTGCTTATTTTGTGGCACCTTGGGCACCTTTGGACAATTTTAGCTGGTAAACATAACATTTTATTTATTTCCTAGCTGGTACTCACACACCTAGACGGATTTATTTTTTTATTTATTTTCTTTTAAATCTGAAAAACCAATGAAACCTGTGCAGTATGGTGCGGGTTGAGATGTCTCGGGACTTGGGTGGGCTAAGGTATTAGAACCTTGGGTTTGGCGTGGGTTAACCCCTTGGCCCGCCCAAGTCCCACCCCTAGGCCCGCCCAAGTCCCACCCCTAATTATCATAATACTTACTAATTATTCATAAAACACCATAATAAGTGTTGCATTGTTAATTTGCTTTTTTGTTAATTAAATGTGAAACAATTTCTTGGCTGAGTATGTTAATAACATCCCTTCATAGTGCGGCGTAATGTGAATGATTTCATTAAATAGATTTCTCAATGTCTAATAGGCCAAGTCTCAAGGCTCATTGTGTGAGCGGTAATTTTTTCCTATTGCTGGTTATACTTCTGTTATTGCTGAATATAATTCAAAGTTGGTTGTTGTGGTCTTAGATAACCCTTAAATTTGTATGCTTTTATGAGTCATTTGGCATGTTTGTTAAGTCACTCGAGAAGTTTCAGGCTTTCAGCCTGTATTTTTGATTCCTAAATCTAATTTTCACAAGATCAGTAACTTCAATATACTTTACTAGATAGATTATGGGTTTTGTTGTTCAGCTGAGAAAATGTTCTCGTGCTTACAGCAAGAAAATTGGTGTTAGCTTCTGCAATATTTCGGCATTCTCAACCTTTTTTCATGGCATATGCAGGTTATATACTGCACAAGCTTGAGTTGGAGTTTTGACGGAAGCACCTTATTCAGCGGGTATACTGATGGTATTATCAGAGTGTGGGGGATCGGGCGTTAAGAGTGATTTTGGAATGCATTTTATCATAGCATTTCAAGTTATTTAGGTTTCAGAAGAATTTTTTTGAAAGGTAATTGGATTTTTAATCTATATTTGATGGTTTTAGGCCTTTTCTTTTCGGATTTCGATATTTTTGTTTATTGTTATTTTTTCCCCATAATTGATTCAAGTTGTTTGCTTAATTTGGGTTGTTTTGACATTTTTTACTTCAATCTTTATCCTTTTCTAACTTAGTGTGTGATTCTTGAAGTACATGATATGACCGTAATGCATGATTTAAATGCAGCGGTAATGTTTTGTTTCCATGTGTTTTAGCTTTTATTTCTCATAAAATGTTTGTTAGTTTCTGGTCAATAGGAGGCGGAAAAAGGATAATCATTGACGATGAAATTTCTGAAAATTGACCCTGAAAATTGACCCGCTTTATAGTCCTATGAACTTAAGGAGGTATTACAGTCTTGTGAAGTGAAACAAGTCAAGTTACATAGAAGTGAATTCAACAAATTGACATGAATTTTCACTGTTTACTATTTTGAAACACCTTTCTTGTCCTATTTGAAATACCTTTCTTGTCCTATTTGAAATACCTTTCCTACCCTTCATCTACACCTTCCTATTTTCTCTCTCCGTGTACACACATCATATAGCTTTTATCTCTCTGTACAATCCACTCAGGTGGAACAGTTAACCGGTGAGTGATTTACGGTTCTGGTAGCGCCAAGTTGCATAAGTGGGGATAGGTTAAAATTTGTTACTGCATATAATACTTTATACAAAATACCAAATTTTACGTTATACATGTAATACTTTCTCAAATCAATACCAAATTTCAGCAAACGACGCTTTTTCTTTCTTCCCTCCCAATACCCTAAATTCTTAGCATTATCTTATCAAAATCTCTGGTTTGGTGTCGATTGATTGATTCGGGGTATATGTGTTTGAATCATTTGTTGTTAGTGTTATAGCTCTGGTTTTTCTATTGATTGGTGGAAAGAAGATTTCCATGGTTCTTAAATTGGATGGCTAGATAACTATGATTTTGCAATTGATTTGCAATTGATTGGTGGGAAGATCTCCATGGTTCTCAAATTGGATAGCTAGATGACTATGATTTTGCAATTGATTGGTGGGAAGAAGGTCTTCATGTTCTCAAATTGGATAGCTAGATAATTATGATTTTGCAATTGATTGGTGGGAAGACGATCTCCACGGTTTTGAAATTGAATAACTTCATCTATCCATTTCACTTGGTTGCATTTCATTTTATTCCAAATTCAAAACGAGCAGGCCCTTATTAGCACAAGGGCCCCAAGCCCTAAAACACAATTTTTTCCAAATCTTTTTTTTTTTTCTGGTTTTTATTGGTGGGAAGAAAGATGAAATTTTCAAGGTAAAAAAAAAAAAAAAAACGAATTTATTCCTAAGGTACTCTCTTTGTTTTTCATCCCTTTCTTTCGTTTTTTCCTTCCAAACAAACTTTGATCAGTGCTACTCTGTGTGTCCTTCATTTTTTTTTTTTACTTCATTTCAACATATGAATTGTGTGCTACACGTATCTCTTGGAAAAAAAAAAAAAAAGATAGACAATGCTACAACGCAACATATGAGTATGAAGTGGACGTTTAACCTGTCAATGTGAATAATCCCCAACTTTAAGACTATCTCAATGGTATATATATTTCAACATTCAAATTGATACACTTGTTTCTTTAAAAAAAAATCTAACATTTATAAATATATACAATGCAAAAAAGGGAAAAATTGATTTGAATTGTATAATCCAAAAAAAACATATGAAGTGGACAATAATCCCCATGTCCAAGAGTATTACGTTAGGAAAATGTTGGAATGCAAGGCTAAAGTCTCAATATGTATTTTTTTGTTTTTTTTTTTTGAAAAATGAATTCATACAAGTATTTAGAATCAATAATCGATCGCAAATATTATTCTCCACTTTTATTGGACCAAAATAATAGATAGAATATTTAATAGAGTCCACAAATTTAAACTAAAAAATATAACCAATATCAGTTGAGATGAAGAAGATGAAAAATAAGCGGGTTTAAAGAGTCCATTGTTGTCTGGTGGAACTGTATGTATAAGAGTCAATAAACAAATATGGTATCAAAAGTTGCAGCCAAACATTGTATCTCTTATCTTAATGATTTAAAAGTTGATCTTGCCAAGAATTAAAAGTACACACAATTCAAACGGAATTGATTCACAGGTAGGCGGAATTAATGAACAATTAAACTGAAATGTTTTGATGTGGCTGGATTAAAGTAGGCAATGAAACCCAGACAAGATTATCCCATCATGGAAAGAAATGGCACAAATTATAACTTTAATTGATCCATCCACCTACATAATCAGTAAGAGTTCTACATAATAGTCATGATACATGCATCCTCATAATTTGGTAATATTGTTTTAAAAATATCTTCATGGTTGCATCCTTTATTTTTAGAAATATTGTCAAACTCATTATAATAGATTCCATTCTTCTATAACTCATTGGCTAACTGTATGTATGGTACGTTTTACGACTTTCAGGCGGTCGTGACCAACTATATTTGTGGATGCTGAGAAACTTTTATATAAATATGTTATTGATTTCCACTGAATGTCGACATTACTAATTATTACATCGATCTCTTGGCTGCATCCAACAACTCATTTCTCGTTCCCACTTGCCTCTCTTATGAATCCATTTCTATGGGCACTTTATGCGTATGCTTAAAAGACCCGTTGTTGTTGTAGTGTGAACCTAATCGAGCTATCTATAAATAACAAATTCACATCTTTGTAGTAATTTATGTTCACCTTTCTTCAATCTCCAATCTGGGGCTTGATATGATAATCAGACAATTAGTTAAAGTTTAATGCTTTCTAGCGGCGGAGGGAGGGGTAGGCCAGCAGGGCCATGGCAACCCCCTTGAGGGCACCCGCCGGCTGCCGCAGTGCCGCGCACAGGCTCTCTTAGTTTCTCTCCTTCCCCTTGAATCTTGATTGCCTCAAATAAATCAACCTACTCAATTCCAGCAGCATGGCCACACCAATTCCACTCTCTCATGATCCTCTTGTACCTGTTGTTGTTGGGGTTGTCATTGCAAGTGGGCCATGTTTATTTTTTATTTATTTTTTTCCCTTTGGATCATGGAATTTTTAGGATTTTTTTTTTTTGACTAATTTTTTAATTTAATTTTTCTGGTGTGATAATTGAATCTGATCGGTTCTATGTATTAAAGAATAATAATTTGTTAGTAGGTAATTCTGTATGAGTTGGTTTTAAACCATAAAATTTTTGTTGTCTAGCGATTTTTAAGGTAATTTTATGGAGTGGTCATTTGAAAAACAACAATCCAAATCTGAATGTTTGTAATATGTGATAATTTCATATAACTTATGTATGAATATATGATGATTTATGCATTGTTTTATATATTGTAATTTTATTTTTTAGTGTGTGTGGTTTATATTGTTTAATTTAATTGATTCAAAATAAAGGTGAGGACTCTTCAATTACTTACCCAAAAAAGAAAAAAGACCTCTTCAATTATGAAACTCTATTCTTCTATTTTCAAAGCAATTTATGTCTAGAAATCTGTTATATGTTGCACCATTGTGGGTGATAATTTTTTTTTTTTTTTTTTATTTATTAAATTAGTTGTTTCATGTGCAATGAGGGCGCAATATCTTGTTTACTCAATTATGCTTATTAGGAATTTAGGATGGATGGTTTAAATTACAATGTAAAACTTAGGTATTACCCTCTTTAGGTACAGTGTTATACGATGGTGAAGCCAAAAAGAACTATTAACGTTTTTTTTTTTAAAAAAAAAAAATTAACTGCCTTCCGCGACTTCCGTCTCTAATGTTGATATTTTGGTTTATGATAACCAGCGTCTGCAATATAATTTTTTTACTCAATTATTGTTTTATAAACAAATTGGCCAAATTTTGACTAAATATATTTTTATATGTATCTAATGGATCATAAAGTACTTTTGACTTAAAATATTATTATATTATATAAGTAACACTGTTCCCCACAACACACACATTGAATCTTCGCTCCGCCCTTGACACTATCAATCCCAAATCACACAAACTAATAGTTGTTTTGAAAGGATTTTATGTGAAAAATGAAGGTAAATTATATATAATGTTAGTTTCTCTCTTCTCCTATGTGTAAAATCTTTCTCCTCATTCTTAAATGTGTTTTGTTTATGTAATTTTCAATCCTCTCTTCTAATACATGTTTACTTTATTGCCTGTGTGCCAGTTTGATTAATGAATTGACTAAAAATTTCAACTTGCTAATCATAGTAGAAATAAATTAGAGTATATCTAGCCTCTACTTGGGGAATAGATATTGTATCGATGTTCCTGTTGCATCGACTTATCCGAATTGTACGTGTTGTACACGTATAATTTTGATGAACCCAATACACGGTGCGCTGGACGCACACTACACGATGCACCGGATGTACACAATACCTTCTCCCACCTAGGAGGTCGTTTAGGTACAAACTCTTTAATTTTTTTTTCTTGTGCACATTTTCAAGGTTAAAATGGCCGCCAAATAATAATAATAATAATAATAACAACAAAAAAAAAAAAAAAAAAAAACTCTTAGAAAAAGTGGTAAAATTGCAAAATGTGCACATCTAATATTTAAACACTGGAGAATATTAATTATATAGTTGCACATCAATTTAAAGAATATAGGAAAATTGGATATCGGTAAGTTATTTACTGAATTTAATAAATTTAGCTTTATTTTTTAATATTGCTAACTATATAATTATATAAGTAGCATTTTAATTACCAGAATATGAGACATTTGTATCAGACATTTGATTCTTTCACAAACATATAGCCTGAGAGATTGTTGCGATAACTTTATAAATCGTGTTGATCTTTAAAAGTTGGTCCTTAAATTTACATATTTTTATATATTCAATAGTCCAATAGTCCAATAGATTTTGTTCAACGCAAATTTGTGGATGTAGAATGTGAGATTGGGTTGTGGGAGCACATTACATTGCACGACAATGCCGGTGGTGGGCTAATGTCTCCACACACATATCTTCCCTTCAAAATTTTCTCAATTCAAAAAATATATCTTTCTGTTTTATATAAACACGAGAAATGACTAGATGCATAAAGATAATTATGTCTTCCACAAAAGTGGATTGACCGTGATCATATTATGTGGTTGCTTAG